AAACTGGGGATTATTCACAGACACGCAAGCGTCAACGTAATGTACGACTCAATCCATTGGATTATGGGCGATCAGAAGAAGCAGCCCTCTCACAGTCAGAAAAATTTCGGGTTCAGAATTTCCTTCCAGCAATTGATCAGTTCCTGAGTTCACTGAATCAACGGTTAAAGGCCTATGAGGAAACCTGTTTACTTTTCGGGTTCTTGTTAAAACTGGAGTCAATGAATTGTAACGAAATTGAAGCAGCTGCAGCAAAATTGGTTGCTGAGTACAAAAATGATTTAGATCAAACACTTGGAGTTGAACTTGTGCAGTTTACAGCATTCTTCACTCAATTTCTTGAAGACGAAGATGATGAGAAAGGGAGGGCACATTACCTTTTCAAGCTGTTGATAGACAAGAAAGTTGTAGATACATTTCCAAATGTTGAAATAATGCTACGGATGTACTTGCTGCTCTTGGTCACAAATTGTTCTGGTGAACGTTCTTTCAGTAAAATGAAGTTTATTAAAAACAGACTTCGTACTACAATGTGTCATGATAGGCTCAGCCACCTGGCTTTGATGAGTATCGAATATGACATCCTCAGAGAGATTGACTTCGAAAAGTTGATCAAAAACTTTGCAGCGGCCTGGTCACGTAAGGTGCCTGGTCTGTAAATAAAGGTAATGTTTATTTTCTATTTTGCAATTGATCAATGTTTGTGTTCAATATATCCATTATCCATGGTCGATGGCAGTTATTTTTATTAAAATTCTTGTTTTTTCCAACATGTTCATACTTTTGTTATAATTTTATCAAATTCATTAAATTGTTTATTTGTTTTACTATTGGATGCAAAACTTCAATTTTATTTATAGTTGAGTTAATACTTATTCTGAATCTATCTGACCTTGGACTTAAAGAAGCCTATACATGCATTCTTGGACAGAACCATTATTTGAGTAGAAGTTTATCTGATTAATAATGCAAAGAATCATCTCTCTGTAATAACTAATAATATATTCTTTTCTGTGAAGTCTCTTGAAAATTTTTGACGTGTGGTAGTAGCTATATCATGGCTGGTCGACTTGAAACCACATGAATGACTCCTGTCATGTCTCACTTTTGTGTGTGTGTGTGTGTGTTGGGAATTTATACACTATCAATAAAATTACAGTTAATTAAAAAATTCTCAATGTTCTAATTTCCTCAATATAACTGCATATGGCTTCAAAATTCTCCAAAGAAGTGTTCAAATTTCAAAATTTTCTCGGGGGGCTTACAGCGCCCCCCGGAACTCCCAGATATTTAGGCTCGCTTCACTCGCCACCCCACCCTCTTGAGTAGTTATAATGAGGGGGGGCCTCCACAAAGAGGCTGCCCATGGGCCTCCACAGGTCTAAATCCCGCACTGTATATGATGCTTTCGACATATACTCAATACATCTTGAATGCTCTATCTCACTGTAGGTATATGTAAGGGCTGTAACGAGCTGCCCTGGACCTTCCCCCTGAGAGCTGACGCCTGAGAGTTTTGGAGGCGAGCTAGACTGCTTCACTCGGGCCTCGCACTGGTGAGGGGCGGATCACTGCGTTCCCAGAACACTCTACAGTGCTGGTTAGAAGGAAGATTCATCTACGGCCGTAGGAAATAACTGTACTTTGTTTTATTGATTATGCTTTGTTTTAGTAATTGTGTTTGACTCCAGTGCTGTTTATTTAATGTTGGTGAGATTGGTGACAGAGTTAAAATTTTTGTGAATATTTCTTAGTAAAGAGATATCCTCTCTTCCGGTTGTTTATTACCCCTTGGAAAACCATTGTGCTTGACTTTCCTTTGATAAGATCCTGATTAGGTTGGCAAGGGATTTATATCCTACAGGTCAGGCTACTCATACACGTTATCTCTTAAATTTAAATTCACTTTGTAAGAGAGATTTCAGGATGTTTAAGAGAAATTAGATGACACCTATCGCTAGAGAAAACACGTCTCTCTCTAGGGGTAACTCATCAGCTTCACACATGATTTGTGAACGGTGGAGCATAATATGAATAATTAAGTGTTGAACATACTAGCTGTGCTCTTGTGACCATGACTCACCGACTGCTGTGCGTCGGAGCTGCTTCCCCAATTCTCTTGGTGTTGTCTGGTATTTATTTGCATTACTTATGTGGCTGACCTGTATTCGACTCCACAGACAAGTTATTCTTGTTATGATTGTTAGGTATAATGTTTAGGATGTCTAATAGGAATTTAAGTTACTAATCAGTTTTGCCTTGTAATGTTCGTGTGAGAGTTTTCCTTGTAAATATATTGGTTTGTTGTAAGTGTATTTTTCAATCTGGGTTTTCTCCTTCAAAATTAAACAACAATTGACCTATTGAAGCCTGTCGAGAGCACTTTTAATAATAAGAGCATTAACGTGATTTATTTATACGGATCAGTATTCTCTCAACCTGACTTAGATCGCCAATTAGTGGGGGCCTGACCTTGGAGGTATCATGTAAACATTTAATTACATTTAAGCATTTAATTTACAGCCATGGGAGATTTTGTTCTTAGTGAATTTGTGGAGGATCCTTCAGGAGAACGATTAAAAAACAGTTTAATTAAGAAAGATGACTGGATTACATTGGCAAAGACATATAAAATAGAATTCAAAGCTTCAGTGACTAAGAGTGTGATTAAGAAGTCGGTCAATTGTTGATTAACTGAGAATTATATTTTACCTGATTGTGCTTTGGAATTATGTGTTGAGAATACCTCTGAGTTGATAACATTAAATAAATTAGAAATGGAAAATGCAAAAAAAAAACCACAAAGACAACATAAATATCAAATGTTACATAAGGTTGTCTAGTCCTACTGCGCAGGTGAGTACTCCCCAGCCAGAGGTCTCTGATTTAACTAAATATACAAAAATGGTGTCATTTGATGAACTCGATCCAGAATTATTTTCTTGCAGTTTGAGAAGGTAGCACAATCACTTAGTTTTCCTCAGACTCATTGGACAATTTTAGCTCAAACATCTTATGTACAGTAGGTAAAGCCCGCACTACTATGTGTCACTTACTGAAGATCAAGTTAAAGATTATAATGGCACCACGAAGAAGGCAATATTACAGAACTATGATCTTGTACCAGAAATGTGTTGGCAAAAGTTTAGGAACCTTAGAAAAAATTATTTTCAGTCTTATTCTGAATTTGCAAGTAAGAAGGAAAAATTGTTTAATCGTTGGTTGACAGCTGCTGATGTCCAGGATTTTGATAAATTGTAGGAGTTGATGTTGATTGAAGAATTTAAACGACAAATTCCTAATCCTGTTGGATTGTATTTAGATGAAAAAGATATATCTGCATTGTCAAAGTCAGCCACATTAGCAGAGAATTTTGCTCTTACTCATGAAACCTATGATTTCAGATTTGCAAACAAACCAGACACCACCAATAGGAAGTGTGCACGACCACAGGATTCCTGAGTCGGGGTTGGTAAGTCGTCTCGGTCTGACGACTCCCTGAAGTCCTATTCTACATCTGGAAATCCTGAGTTTCAGGTCTACTTTGCTGTCACTCGGAATCGAGTATGATGATCATCCAGCTATGACTAAAGAGGCCGATATTGGACCGGCAAAGTCGTTCACAGATGTTGCACATGGCTCCAACCAGTGCTGGGGGGGGCGGCGGTAGCGTCTTTCCGGCGCTGGCGCTTGTCTGCCTCGGTTTGCAGTTGGGCTAATTCGAAAGTATTGACACCTTCTCGTGCGGTGTTCCTCCAAGCGTTACGGTGTGGAGTGATCGTCTTCCAGGTGAGGGGGTCGATTTGGCACTTTTTCAGGTTTGTCTTACGATTATCCTTATACTTTTTCAGTTGCCGGCCAGTGTTATGTTTACTATTTGTTAAATGACGGTGCTCCTACAGTTGGTGTCAGCGAGAATACCGGCATTTGTTCTCTTGTCTTCCCAGTGAACTCGGAGGATAGAACATAGACTACGTTGGTGAAAGCTTTCAAGTGCATTGAGGTGCATCCAGTATGTAACCCATGTCTCACTGCCATATAGCATGGTGGGGAGAACCACTGCTCGATATGAGTGCAACTTTGTAGATAATTTCAGCTCCCTACAGCTGAAGACACAGGTACGGAGTCTGCCAATGGCTTGAGATGCGCATCTGATCCGATGTTGAATCTCTTCATCGATGTCCGCGGTGGTGGACAGTTGGGAGCCGAGATACTGAAAGTGGATAACATTAGAGAGGGTAGTACCATTAAGCTGGATGGATGGTGGAGGTGTGGCTGAACCAGGGGAAAGCTGAAAGAGAATCTGAGTCTAACACACATTTACCTCAAGACCGAAGTGTGAATACGCAACTACATAGGTGTTCAGGATCTCCTGTAGGTCGCGTTCAGTGTGAGCGACAAGGGTGAAGTCGTCTGCATACTGAAGTCTGCATACTGACCACGTGAGGTCCTTCATATCAACACTCGAGGACGAGTTACGACACCACGTGAACACCACACCACCCGATATCTCCATGACCAGGCCATGCCCGGGCCATCAACTGTAAACTATAATAATTTGTATGTTCAATTCATGTTCCTTCTCCTTTCAGTAAAGAAAGCTTTTGTTAAACGGCACACCCACCCCATGTCTTTGTATGTAATAAGTCATTTTTGTCCAATGTATATATTTTCAGCCTTTGGGCTGCAGAACTTTTTCAATAAACCGTTAATTATTATTATTATCAGTAGTAGTAGTAATGGAAGCTGCCAACACCTGCCTGGAGTCATCTTATTTTTAAAAGATCCTTCATCAGGTACTCTATGTCCACCCCGACGGCTAAATTGGCACTAGCATAACTGAGGAAGGCAGCCAAAAAAATGGAAAAGAGAGTTGGCGCGAGTGCACATCCTTGTTTTACCCCTGTTTGGATGAGGAAGAACTCAGACTGGGTGCCATTGTGCAGGACACTGCCGTTCATGCTGGAGTTGCCTCACAATGGTGTAATGGCCCCTGTCTCATCAACAGAAAGATTATATAAATGGGTTAATTACATTTGATTTATATACTGATTCATCCCCTGTAACTTTCCACTGGCTATGAGGTGACATGTTCAGAGCACGTGATAAGGAGAGCCCATGGGAAACCGCGTCATATTATGCTGAGCTAAATCATTACTTGCCGGCCTTTCTGGCCACCTAAAGCAGGTATTACTACTCAATCCCTCACACAAGAAGGACGTGATTAAACGGTCTATTTACATAGCCTCCATCCTTCTCTTAACACCCATAGCTACAGTGATTAAGTTACGGTTGATTTACACTCTGGAATTGTATCAACAGCAGTTCCTCAATAAAAGGAGAAACAGACAATTGGGTTTCGCTACTGTAACCCAATATAATATAAATGTACCAGCTTAGTTAACTTCGACAGAACCTACAGTTAACCAGCTATAACAATGGCGATGAATTTTGATGGGCATCCAAACCGGCTGAGGGTCCGCCAGAGGGCTTCCCCGTAGACCGAGTCGAAGTTGGATATTTATTCTCCTTTTCATTGTTCAGGATGCGATGATACTGGAAATGCGATGGGCGGTGTATTTATTTAACGTCATATCCCCAAGAGTTCTAAAAAGTGCCAAAAAATGCTCCCAGTGAACCTTCCAGGGGCCTTCCTTAGGGACAGCGTATCCCCCCAGGGACCCTCTCAGGGGCTGTGACACCCCCAAGGGAACTCAGTGGCCGCGGCGCTCTAGGGGTTTTCCCAGGGGCGGCGACGCCGCCAGAGGTTGTCCAGGGGTCCTACCAGGGGTGGAGGCTCCTCCAGGTGCCCTCCCAAGAGCGGCGGCGCCCCCAGGGATCATCTCAGAGGCGGCGGAGCCCCCTGGGGCCCTGCCATGTGCTGTGGCACGCACAGGAGACCTTCCATAAGCGATGGCGCCTCCAGGGGCCCTCCCAAGACCCGCAGCGCCGCTAGTGGTTCTCCCAGGGGCAACGGCGCTCCAAGGGAACCTCCCAAGCGCGGCGGTGCTCCAAGGGGCCCTCCCAAGATCGGAGGCTCCCGTATGGGCCCTCCCAAGAGCGGCGGCACCCCCAGGGGCCCTGCTTAGGAGTGGCGACAACCCCAGGGGCCTTGCCAGAGGCGATGGCGCCTCCAGAGGCTCCCGGAGGTGGCGGGGCCCCCAAGGGCCTTCCCAGGGGCGGCAGGGGCCTTTCAAGAGGCGATGGTAACCCCAGGGGCCCTCCAGGGGCGGCGGCGCCCTTAAAGGCCCTTTCAGGAGCACTGGCGCTCATAGGGCCTTGCCAGGGGCTGTGGCGCGCATAGGGGCTTTGCCAGGGGCTGTGGCGCCCTCACAGCCTCTTCCAGGGGACGTTGAGCACCCACGGACTCTCCCAGGAGCCCTCCCAGGAGCGGTGGCTTTCCCATTGGCCCTCCCAAGGACGGTGGTGACTCCAGGGGCCCTCCCAAGTGCTGCGGCTCCCCTATAGGCCCTCATAAGGACGGCGGCAGCGCTCCCAGGGGCCCTCCTTTGGGGTGATGGCAACCCCAGGGGCCCTGCCAGAGGCGATGGCGCCTCCTCCAGGGGCCCCCGGGAGCAGCGGCGCCTCCAGGGGTCCACCTAGGAGCAGCGGCAGGTGCGGCAGGGGCCCTTCAAAAGGCGGTGGTAACCCAGTGGCAGTCTAAGATGCAGAGGCACCCCTAGGGGACCTCACAGCGTATGCAGCGCCCCTGGGGAGCCTTCTAAAGGGCAGTGGCGCACCCAGGGGCCCTACCAGGGGCCGTCGTGCCCCCGAGGGCCCTTACAGAGGAGGCAACCCCCCCATGGGCCCGGGGGCTCTCTCTAGTTGTAACAGAGCACCCAGGGGCCCTCCCAGGGGCGGCTGCGCCCCAAAGACCCTCCCAAGGGTAGTGGCGACCCGAGGGCCCCTGTCAGGGGCAATGGAATTCCCAGAGGCCCACCCACGGGCTGCAGCGCTCCCAGGGACATCCCAGGGCCGGGGCACCCCCAGGGGTCTTCCCAGGGACGGCGGCGCACCCAGAGGTCTTCACAGTGGTGCTGGCGCCCCCAGGGGCGGTGATTCCTCCAGGTGCCTTGCCCTGCCCCGCTGGAGTCGGAAGGGTCGCTCCAAGGGGCGGCGGCACCTCCCAGGGGTGGTGGTGTTTCCTGGGGTCTTCCCAGGGACGGCGGACTCCGCAGGGGCTTCATCGTGGTGCCGTACATATAGCATACGTCCAGCAATCATTTACTTAACTGTGATTGGTGGACTAAAATGTAAATCCACGAAATTTCAGCCAATAGAAGAACAGTGCAGTCAGTCAGCACAACACCCCAACTTATGTTTTCCTGTTGGATATTTATTCTCAGAATGCGATGATACTGGAAATGCGAGAGGCGGTGTACTTATTTAACGGCATATCTCCCAGAGTTCTAAATAGTGCAAAAAACAACTGCCCCCCAGGAGATCTCCCAGTGGCGACGGCGCGCCCAGAGGCCCTCCCTAGGAGAGTGTCGACCCCAGGGGCCCTCCCAGGAGCGGCAGCGCTCCCAGGGGTTCTCCGTGGGACAGCGGCGCTTCCTGGGACGGCAGCACCCCCAGGGGCCCTCCTAGGGATGGCGGCGTCCCAAGGGCCTCTGCCAGGGGCGCTGGGGCACACAGGGGCTCTTCCAGGGGCCCTCCCAGAAACGGCGGCGCCCCCAGTGGCGCTGGTGCCTCCACGGGCTCTCTCATTGACAGCAGTCCCTTACTTAACTATGATTGATGGACTGTTCTTTAACCCACCAACTTACAGCCAATAAGAGAAGAGAGCACCCAGTCAACACACCACCACAACTTATGTTTTCCTGTTGATATTATTCTCCACCACCTTCTTCAGAATGCTATGATACCGGAAATGTGATGGGCGGTGTTTTTATTTAATGTTGCATGTCCCATTGTCCCAGAGTTCTAAATAGTGCAAAACTACTGCATCCAGGGACCCTACAGGTCTGGCTCTTCCAGGGGCCCTCCTACGGTCGGCGGCGCCCCCAGGTGCCCTTCCACGGGCGTCAGCGCTTACCAGGAGCGCTGGAGTCCCCACAGGCTCTCCCAGTGACAGCCGCCGTTCCAGGGGCCATCCTAGGGATGCCGGCCCTCCCATGGGCGCTCCCTGGGGACGGTGTTGCTTTCAGGGGCCCTTCCAGGGATTTCGGCTCTTTCAGGAACCCCCCCAGTGGCTCTCCTAGAGATAGCGGCGCTCCCAGGGCACCTCAGAGGAACGGCGGCGTCCCCATGGGCCCTGTTAGGGGCGCTGGCGACCCTAGGGGCCCTCACAGCGACAGTCATGATCCCTGGGGCCTTTCCAGGGACGGGGGCGCCTCGAAGTACGTTCCTAGCTGCCGCGGTGCTCCCAGAGGCCCTGCCAGCGGCTGTGGCGCCTTCAAGGGCCCTTCCAGAGGCAGTGGCTCCCTTCAGGCCTCTTTATGGGGCGCCACTGCTCCCAGGGACCCTGCAAAGACCTGTGGCTCACAATAGTTCCTCCTAGGGGAGTCAGCGCACCAAAACAATGGATAGTGGTGTCGTACATATTGCATTCTTCCAGTAATCTCTTACTTAACTGTGATTGGTGGAATAAGAGGTAACGTCATCAAATTTCAGCCAATAGGAAAACAGAGCAATCAGTCAGCACAACACCCCAACTTATGTTTTGCTGTTGGATATGTATTCTCCTTTTCATTGTTCAGGTTGTGATAATACTGAAAATGCTATGGGCAGTGTGTATTTATTTAATGTCATATCTCCCAGACTTCAAATAGTAAAACGAGAATAAATATCCAACAGCAAAGCAAAAGTTGGGGTGTTGTGCTGACTGATTGCTCTGTTCTACTATTGGCTGTAATTTGATGACGTTACATCTTACTCCATCAATCACGTTTAAGTAAGGGATTACTGGACGAATGCAAAATGTACAACAAAACTATGAAGTTCTAGGGACGATGCTGCATGTGGAAGGGGTTTTGGGGAGCCATCGCCCCTGGCAGAGACCCTGCCGTCCCTGGAAAGGCACCCACTATGACTAGAAGGGCCCATACCAGCGCCACCGGCCCTAGGAGGGCCCATTAGGGCGCTGCAGCCCCTGGCAGGTTCATTTTGGGCAGAAGTGCCCCATAGAGGGACCCTTGGGGAGACACCGCCTCTAGAAGGGCCTCGAAAATGCGCCACTGCCGTGGTATGGCCCCTGGTGGTGCCGCCGTCCCTGAGAACACCCCTGAAGGTGCCCCCGTCCCTGTAAGGGACCCTGGGATCGTTGCTATCCCTGTGGTGGGTCACTTGGCCATGCAAGGCACGGAGGCACCCCCAGGGCCCTCTCAGGTTCGGTGGTGCCCCCAGGGGACCTGTCAGAGGCGCTGGAGCCACCAGGGGCGGTCTTAGGAATAACTGTAATCCTAGGGGCCTTCTCAGGGAAGACAGCATCGACAGGGACTCCTCCAGGAACAGCCGAGCTTCCATGGGCCTCTCAGGGAGGCAACGCTCCATGGGAACTTCGCAGGGACGGCAACACGCCTAAGGACCCTCACACGGACGGCGGCGTCCCCATGGGCCCTGTTAGGGGCGCTGGCGACCCTAGGGGCACTTACAGCGACAGTCATGATCCCTGGGGCCTTTCCAGGGGCGGGGGCGCCTCCAGGTACGTTCCTAGCTGCCGCGGTGCTCCCAGAGGCCCTGCCAGCAGCTGTGGCGCCTTCAAGGGCCCTTCCAGAGGCAGTGGCTCCCTCCAGGCCTCTTTATGGGTCGCCACTGCTCCCAGGGACCCTGCAAAGACCTGTGGCTCACAATAGGTCCTCCTAGGGGAGTCAGCGCACCAAAACAATGGCTAGTGGTGTCGTACATATTGCATTCTTCCAGTAATCTCTTACTTAACTGTGATTGGTGGAATAAGAGGTAACGTCATCAAATTTCAGCCAATAGGAAAACAGAGCAATCAATCAGCACAACACCCCAACTTATGTTTTGCTGTTGGATATTTATTCTCCTTTTCATTGTTCAGGTTGTGATAATACTGAAAATGCTATGGGCAGTGTGTATTTATTTAACGTCATATCTCCCAGACTTCAAATAGTGAAACGAGAATAAATATCCAACAGCAAAGCATAAGGTGGGGTGTTGTGCTGACTGCTTGCTCTGTTCTCCTATTGGCTGTAATTTGATGACGTTACATCTTACTCCACCAATTACGTTTAAGTAGGGGATTACTGGACGAATGCAAAATGTATGACAAAACTATGAAGTTCTTGGGACGATGCTGCATGTGGATGGGTTTCTAGGGGCGCCATCGCCCCTGGCAGAGACCCTGCCGTCCCTGGAAAGGCACCCACTACGACTAGGAGGGCCCATACCAGCGCCGCTGGCCCTAGTTGGGCCCATTGGGATGCTGCAGCCCCTGGCAGGGTCATTTTGGGCAGAAGTGCCACATAGAGGGACCCTTGGGGAGACACCGCCCTTAGAAGGGCCTCGAAAATGCGCCACTGCGGTGGTATGGCCCCTGGTGGTGCCGCCGTCCCTGAGAACATTCCTGAAGGTGCCCCCGTCACTGTAAGGGACCCTGGGATCGTTGCTATCCCTGTGGTGGGTCACTTGGCCATGCAAGGCACGGAGGCACCCCCAGGGCCCTCTCAGGTTTGGTGGTGACCCCAGGGGACCTGTCAGAGGCGCTGGAGCCACCAGGGGCGGTCTTAGGAATAACTGTAATCCTAGGGGCCTTCTCAGGGAAGGCAGCGTCGACAGGGGCTCCTCCAGGAACAGCCGAACTTTCATGGGCCTCTCAGGGAGGCAACGCTCCATGGGAACTTCGCAGGGACGGCAACACGCCTAAGGACCCTCACAGGGACGGCGGCGTCCCAATGGGCCCTGTTAGGGGCGCTGGCGACCCTAAAGGCCCTTACAGCTACAGTCATGATGTCTGGGGCCTTTCCAGGGACGGGGGCGCCTCCAGGTACGTTCCTAGCTGCCACGGTGCTCCCAGAGGCCCTGCCAGTGACTGTGGCGCCTTCGGTTGCCCTTCCAGAGGCGGTGGCTCCCTCCAGGCCTCTTTATTTGGCGCCACTGCTCCCAGGGACCCTGTAAAGACTTGTGGTTCACAATAGATCCTCCTAGGGGAGTCAGCGCACCAAAACAATGGATAGTGGTGTCGTACATATTGCATTCTTCCAGTAATCTCTTACTTAACTGTGATTGGTGGAATAAGAGGTAACTTAAGCAAATTTCAGCCAATAGGAAAACAGAGCAATCAGTCAGCACAACACCCCAACTTATGTTTTGCTGTTGGATATTTATTCTCCTTTTCATTGTTCAGGTTGTGATAATACTGAAAATGCTATGGGCAGTGTGTATTTATTTAACGTCATATTTCCCAGACTTCAAATAGTGAAACGAGAATATATATCCAACAGCAAAGCATAAGTTTGGGTGTTGTGCTGACTGATTGCTCTGTTCTCCAATTGGCTGTAATTTGATGACGTTACATCTTACTCCACCAATCACGTTTAAGTAAGGGATTACTGGACGAATGCAAAATGCACAACAAAACTATGAAGTTCTTGGGACAATGCTGCATGTGGAAGGGGTTTTGGGGCGCCATCGCCCCTGGCAGAGACCCTGCCGTTCCTGGAAAGGCACCCACTATGACTAGGAGGGCCCATACCAGCGCCACCGGCCCTAGGAGGGCCCATTGGGGCGCTGCAGCCCCTGGCAGGGTCATTTTGGGCAGAAGTACCCCATAGAGGGACCCTTGGGGAGACACCGCCTTTAGAAGGGCCTCGAAAATGCGCCACTGCCTTGGTATGGCCCCTGGTGGTGCCGCCGTCCCTGAGAACACCCCTGAAGGTGCCCCCGTCCCTGTAAGGGACCCTGGGATCGTTCCTATCCCTGTGGTGGGTCACTTGGCCATGCAAGGCACGGAGGCGCCCCCAGGGCCCTCTCAGGTTCGGTGGTGCCTCCAGGGGACCTGTCAGAGGCGCTGGAGCCACCAGAGCCGGTCTTAGGACTAACTGTAATCCTAGGGGCCTTCTCAGGGAAGGCAGCGTCGACAGGGGCTCCTCCAGGAACAGCCGAGCTTCCATGGGCCTCTCAGGGAGGCAACGCTCCATGGGAACTTCGCAGGGACGGCAACACGCCTAAGGACCCTCACAGGGACTGCGGCGCCCCCATGGGCCCTGTTAGGGGCGCTGGCGACCCTAAGGGCCCTTACAGCGACAGTCATGATCCCTGGGGCCTTTCCAGGGAAGGGGGCGCCTCCATGTACGTTCCTAGCTGCCGAGGTGCTCTTAGAGGCCCTGCCAGCGGCTGTGGTGCCTTCGGTTGCCCTTCCAGAGGCGGTGGCTCCCTCCAGGCGTCTTTATGGGGCGCCACTGCTCCCAGGGACCCTGCAAAGACTTGTGGTTCACAATAGATCCTCCTAGGGGAGTCAGCGCACCAAAACAATGGATAGTGGTGTCGTACATATTACATTCTTCCAGTAATCTCTTACTTAACTGTGATTGGTGGAATAAGAGGTAACGTCATCAAATTTCAGCCAATAGGAAAACAGAGCAATCAATCAGCACAACACCCCAACTTATGTTTTGCTGTTGGATATTTATTCTCCTTTTCATTGTTCAGGTTGTGATAATACTGAAAATGCTATGGGCAGTGTGTATTTATTTAACATCATATCTCCCAGACTTCAAATAGTGAAACGAGAATAAATATCCAACAGCAAAGCATAAGTTGGGGTGTTGTGCTGACTCATTGCTCTGTTCTCCTATTGGCTGTAATTTGATGACGTTACATCTTACTCCACCAATCACGTTTAATTAAGAGATTACTGGACGAATGCAAAATGTACAACAAAACTATGAAGTTCTTGGGACGATGCTGCATGTGGAAGGGGTTTTGGGGAGCCATCGCCCCTGGCAGAGACCCTGCCGTCCCTGGAAAGGCACCCACTATGACTAGGAGGGCCCATACCAGCGCCACCGGCCCTAGGAGGGCCCATTAGGGCGCTGCAGCTTCTGGCAGGGTCATTATGGGCAGAAGTGCTCCATAGAGGGACCCTTGGGGAGACACCGCCCTTAGAAGGGCCTCGAAAATGCGCCACTGCCGTGGTATGGCCCCTGGTGGTCCCGCCGTCCCTGAGAACACCCCTAAAGGTGCCCCCGTCCCTGTAAGGGACCCTGGGGTCGTTGCTATCCCTGTGGTGGGTCATTTGGCCATGCAAGGCATGGAGGCACCCCCAGGGCCCTGTCATTGTCGGCGGTACCACCAGGGGACCTCTCAGGGGCGCTGGATCCATCAGGGGCGGTCTTAGGAAGAACTGGAATCCTAGGGGCCTTCTCAGGGAAAGCGGCGTCGACAGGGGCTACTCCAGGAACAACCGAGCTTCCATGGTCCTCTCAGGGACGGCAACGCTCCAAGGGACCCTTGCAGGGACGGCATCGCTCTTAGGGACCCTCACAGGGACGGTGGCGTCACCATGGGACCTGGTAGGGGCACTGGCGACCCGAGGGGCCCTCACAGGGACAGCAATGATCCCTTGAGCCTTTCCAGGGACGGGGGCGCCTCCAGGTACGTTCCTAGGGACCGTGGTGCTCCCAGAGGCCCTGTCAGCGGCGGTGGCGCCTTCAGGGGCCCTTCCAGAGGCGGTGGCTCCCCCCAGGCCTCTTTATGGGGCGCCCCTGCTTCCAGGGACCCTGCCAGTGCCTATGGGTCACAATAGGTCCTCCTAGGGGAGGCGGCACCTCAAAACAATGGATAGTGGTGTCGTACATATTGCATTCTTCCAATAATATCTTACTTAACTGTGATTGGTGGAACAAGAGGTAATGTCATCAAATTACAGCCAATAGGAAAACAGAGGAATCAGTCAGCACAACACCCCAACTTATGTTTTGCTGTTGGATATTTATTCTCCTTTTCAATGTTCAGGTTGCGATAATACTGAAAATGCTATGGGCAGTGTCTATTTATTTAACTCATATCCCCAGAGTTTAAACAGTGAAACGAAGATAAATATCCAACAGCAAAGCATAAGTTGGGGTGTTGTGCTGACTGATTGCTCTGTTCTCCTATTGGCTGTAATTTGATGACGTCACATCTTGCTCCACCAATCACAGTTGAGTAAAGGATTACTGGACGAATGCAAAATGTACGACAAATCTATGAATTTTTTGGGGAGATGCTGCAAGTGGAAGGGCCCCTGGGGGCGCCACCAACCTTGGCAAAGAAACTGCCGCCCCTGTAAAGGCACCCACTGCGACTAGGAGGGCCCATACCAGCGCCGCCGGCCCTAGGAGGGCCCATAGGGGCGCTGCAGCCCCTGGCAGGGTCATTGGGGTCAGAGGCGCCCCATAGAGGGATCCTGGGGGAGACACCGCCTTTGGAAGGGCCTCTGAATGCGGCACCGCTTTGGTATGGCCCATGGGGGCGCTGCCGTCCCTGGGAACACCCCTGAAGGCGCCCCCGTCCCAGTAAGGGAACCTGGGATCCCCGCTATCCCTGTGAGGGTCACTTGGCCATGCCAGGCACGGAGGCGCCCCAGGGCCCTGTCATTGTCGGCGGTACCACCAGGGGACCTGTCAGGGGCGCTGGATCCATCAGGGGCGGTCTTAGGAAGAACTGGAATCCTAGGGGCCTTCTCAGGGAAGGCGGCGTCGACAGGGGCTACTCCAGGAACAACCGAGCTTCCATGGTGCTCTCAGGGACGGCAACGCTCCAAGGGACCCTTGCAGGGACGGCATCGCTCTTAGGGACCCTCACAGGGACGGTGGCGTCCCCATGGGACCTGGTAGGGGCACTGGCGACCCGAGGGGCCCTCACAGGGACAGCCATGATCCCTGGGGCCTTTCCAGGAACAGGGGCGCCTCTAGGTACGTTCCTAGGGACAGTGGTGCTCCCAGAGGCCCTGTCAGCGGCGGTGGCGTCTTCAAGGGCCCTTCCAGAGGTGGTGGCTCCCCCCAGGCCTCTTTATGGGGCGCCCCTGCTCCCAGGGACCCTGCCAGTGCCTATGGGTCACAATAGGTCCTCCTAGGGGAGGCGGCACCTCAATACAATGGATAGTGGTGTCGTACATATTGCATTCTTCCAATAATATCTTACTTAAGTGTGATTGGTGGAACAAGAGGTAATGTCATTAAATTACAGCCAATAGGAAAACAGAGGAATCAGTCAGTACAACACCCCAACTTATGTTTTGCTGTTGGATATTTATTCTCCTTTTCAATGTTCAGGTTGCGATAATACTGAAAATGCTATGGGCAGTGTCTATTTATTTAACACATATCCCCCAGAGTTTAAACAGTGAAACGAAAATAAATATCCAACAGCAAAGCATAAGTTGGGGTGTTGTGCTGACTGATTGCTCTGTTCTCCTATTGGCTGTAATTTGATGACGTCACATCTTGCTCCACCAATCACAGTTGAGGAAGTGATTACTGGACGAATGCACAATGTACGACAAATCTATGAATTTTTTGGGGAGATTCTGCATGTGGAAGGGCCCCTGGGGGCGCCACCGACCTTGGCAGAGACGCTGCCGCCCCTGGAAAGGCACCCACTACGACTAGGAGGGCCCATACCAGCGCCGCCGGCCCTAGGAGGGCCCATAGGGGCGCTGCAGCCCCTGGCAGGGTCATTGGGGGCAGAGGCGCCCCATAGAGGGACCGTGGGGGAGACACCGCCTTTGGAAGGGCCTCTGAATGTGGCACCGCTGTGGTATGGCCCCTGGGTGCGCCGCCGTCCCTGGGAACACCCCTGAAGGCGCCCCCGTTCCAGTAAGGGAACATGGGATCGCCGCTATCCCTGTGAGGGTCACTTGGCCATGCCAGGAACGGAGGCGCCCCAGGGCCCTGTCATTGTCGGCGGTACCACCAGGGGACTTGTCAGGGGCGCTGGATCCATCAGGGGCGGTCTTAGGAAGAACTAGAATCCTAGGGGCCTTCTCAGGGAAGGCGGCGTCGACAGGGGCTACTCCAGGAACAACCGAGCTTCCATGGTCCTCTCAGGGACGGAAACGCTCCAAGGGACCCTTGCAGGGACGGCATCGCTCTTAGGGACCCTCACAGGGTCGGTGGCGTCCCCATGGGACCTGGTAGGGGCACTGGCGACCCGAGGGGCCCTCACAGGGACAGCAATGATTCCTTGAGCCTTTCCAGGGACGGGGGCGCCTCCAGGTACGTTCCTAGGGACCGTGGTGCTCCCAGAGGCCCTGTCAGCGGCGGTGGCGCCTTCAGGGGCCCTTCCAGAGGCGGTGGCTCCCCCCAGGCCTCTTTATGGGGCGCCCCTGCTTCCAGGGACCCTGCCAGTGCCTATGGGTCACAATAGGTCCTCCTAGGGGAGGCGGCACCTCAAAACAATGGATAGTGGTGTGTACATATTGCATTCTTCCAATAATATCTTACTTAACTGTGATTGGTGGAACAAGAGGTAATGTCATCAAATTACAGCCAATAGGAAAACAGAGGAATCAGTCAGCACAACACCCCAACTTATGTTTTGCTGTTGGATATTTATTCTCCTTTTCAATGTTCAGGTTGCGATAATACTGAAAATGCTATGGGCAGTGTCTATTTATTTAACTCATATCACCCAGAGTTTAAACAGTGAAACGAAAAGAAATATCCAACAGCAAAGCATAAGTTGGGGTGTTGTGCTGACTGATTGCTCTGTTCTCCTATTGGCTGTAATTTGATGACGTCACATCTTGCTCCACCAATCACAGTTGAGGAAAGGATTACTGGACGAATGCAAAATGTACGACAAATCTATGAATTTTTGGGGGATGCTGCATGTGGAAGGGCCCCTGGGGGCGCCACCGACCTTGGCAGAGACGCTCCGCCCCTGAAAGGCACCCACTACGACTAGGAGGGCCCATACCAGCGCCGCCGGCCCTAGGAGGGCCCATAGGGGCGCTGCAGCCCCTGGCAGGGTCATTGGGGGCAGTGGCGCCCTTAGAGGGACCCTGGGGGAGACACCGCCATTGGAAGGGCCTCTGAGTGCGGCACCGCTGTGAGTATGGCCTAGGTGCCGCCGTCCTGGGAAACACCCCTGAAGGCGCCCCCATCCCAGTAAGGGAACCTGGGATCGCCGCTATCCCTGTGGGTCACTTGGCCATGCCAGGCACGGAGGCGCCCCAGGGCCCTCTCAGGGTCGGCGGTGCCCCAGGGGACCTGTCAGGGGCGCCTGATCCACCAGGGGCGCTGGATCCATCAGGGACCCTCTTAGGGACAACGACAATCCTAGGGGCTTTCTCGGGGAAGACGACGTTCTCAGGGGCTCCTCCAGAAACTGCCGAGTTTCCATGGGCCTCTCAGGGGCGGCAACGCTCCTAGGGACCCTCACAGACGGCATCGCTCTTAGGGACCCTCCTTAGGGACGATGGCGTCCCATGGGACCTGCTAGGGCACTGGCGACACGAGGGGCCCTCACTGGGGATATGTGATCCTGGGGCCTTTCAGGGACGGGGTCGCCTCAGGTACGTTCACAGGACAGTGGTGCTCCCAGAGGCACTGTCAGCGGCGGTAGCGCCTTCAAGGGCCCTTCCGGCGGCGGTGGCTCCCCAGGCACTCTTTATGGGGCGCCCCACCTGCTCAGGGACCCTGCCGGTGCCTATGGGTCACAATAGCTCCACTAGGGGAGGCGGCACCTCAAAACAATGGATAGTGGTGTCGTACATATTGCATTCTTCCAATAATATCTTACTTAACTGTGATTGGTGGAACAAGAGGTAATGTCATCAAATTACAGCCAATAGGAAAACAGAGGAATCAGTCAGCACAACACCCCAACTTATGTTTTGCTGTTGGATATTTATTCTCCTTTTCAATGTTCAGGTTGCGATAAAACTGAAAATGCTATGGGCAGTGTCTATTTATTTAACTCATATCCCCCAGAGTTTAAACAGTGAAACGAAAAGAAATATCCAACAGCAAAGCATAAGTTAGGGTGTTGTGCTGACTGATTGTTCTGTTCTCCTATTGGCTGTAATTTGATGACGTCACATCTTGCTCCACCAATCACAGTTGAGTAAAGGATTACTGGACGAATGCAAAATGTACGACAAATCTATGAATTTTTTGGGGATATGCTGCATGTGGAAGGGCCCCTGGGGTCGCCAACGACCTTGGCAGAGACACTGCTGCCCCTGGAAAGGCACCCACTACGACTAGGAGGGCCCATACCAGCGCCGCCGGCCCTAGGAGGGCCCATAGGGGCGCTGCAGCCCCTGGCAGGGTCATTGGGGGCAGAAGCGCCCCATAGAGGGACCTTGGGGTAGACACCGCCTCTGGAAGGGCCTCTGAATGCGGCACCGCTGTGGTATGGCCCCTGGGGGCGCCGCCGTCCCTGGGAACACCCCTGAAGGCGCCCCCGTCCCAGTAAGGGAATCTGGGATCGCCGCTATCCCTGTGAGGGTCACTTGGCCATGCCAGGCACGGAGGCGCCCCAGGACCCTCTCATTGTCGGCGGTACCACCAGGGGACCTGT